AATCTAGTTTTGGAAAGCGCTTACGCATTCTACCTCCAGTCGGGATTATGTCTCCCAGACCCAGTGTACCAATTGACTGATTCTGAAAAATGGAAGGCTTAATTGGCCTAGACGGGTAATGATCTGTGACCACATGACCATAGCCCTATATCCTGCGTACGCTAGCGGCATCACGTGCACAGGATACCACCCCACCTCTGTCCTTTTACTAACCTGATCTCTACTTATTATGCTTTTTGCAACAGGGGCGAAAGTGCTCATTTGAGTGGACTTGGGGATTCGTTAAGTGTAGAGTGTATGCATCTTAGTATGTGAAACAATATAGCTTGTCATTTTTCAGCTGATTGTCGACGTGGAACGAAGTTCTTTGGATATGGGTGGACCTCCAAGTCAGACCTCATCGTCAGCTACAGAGAAGCGAATCCATCAGTCGATCCTGTGCTCTACGCAAAGTCTGGCCGAGAAAGTCGACGAATTGCGAACGGCAGCTGTGTCCAAAGTATGGTCCTTGCCAATACCCCCATTGGGAGGAGGGATTTATTATTAATTTGTTGCCTATTCCAGGGCGAGGCACTTCCACACTGTGTCGAAGCTCACTGGGAAACAGTACAGCCGCTTGCGGCATCCGCATGCGAAGCCGCAGCAATCGCACGCGACAGTCGCCAGCAGGCCGAATTGTTTGACAAGTGTCGTACGGTCGTCGAGGCGGAGCTCCAGATGATGTATGCATGCCGTGACTCCGCAGGAAATCCCAAGGTACGAAATCGAACTTCATGACCTCTGCTGCTCATGATTTTATACTTTATCTATACTATTTGGTGGTGGTTTCTGTTGAGTAACAGGGTCATTGTAGGCAGTCGAAGCTCATGCTCGTGTTGACGAAGCCGCTGTACAATTGAAAGATGCACTTGATGATATGAGAAGTACCGTGAGCGCGATCAGCAGTGAACAAGGTAGGAGTAGTTGTCATCATATCTGGATTGCGGTCGCATGATGTGAAATCCGAGCGAGCGGAAGCGATGCGGCGCCGCCCACGTGACTTCTCTTCTACCGCGCGCTCGTTTTTCACGGTTCGCGACCGTCTACTTTTCGGGCCAGAACGCCGGCAAAAAACGAAATGCCAGTGCCAGCGTCGGGAAATGGTCTTGATGGTGTTGCTGTTGCAGGAGTCATCCAAGGAATGGTCGAGACGATTTCTCATTCGATTGCTGGTACCGACATGATGCATGCATCTTCTCAAGGATCGTCCTTTGCTGATGCACAAACGAAAATCAATCAATACCTTGAGGATATTAGGTGGGTCACTAGAGGAATACCCCCCTCGGAACCTGTAATATCAGTTACCGGTAGTTGCCTATTCTCGATCTGAACTGTAACAGGCTGGGTAGGTAGGTATGGCCGATGGTGATCTATTCCATGTGCATAGCTGGTTACGTCGTAATTCAGCCTTAATAGCTCAAGAGCGTTTTGTACAATTGGAAATTACTTCGGCGATATGTCATGGCGAATATGCAAGGAGGTGCTGACACCACTGGTTTCCCGGGAATGTCTTACATTGAATCAGACGCCGGGTACCTACAAGTAAATACTCTACTACTCACTCTGCTAAACTCTTTTTCCCATCGTTCTGTCGCCCAGCTTTCCCGCGCACGGCAGTTTACGGGTGGTTTGGCGCCACAATCTGACCTAATGACACGCAGCCGTCGGGATGAAGCCGTGCGAGTATGCCATCTTGCAGTTTGACGCGTCCATATCCCCTTTTTCCAGTTGTGGGGCAACTACACTGCACGCGGCTCTTGAGACGTTTGTGCGGAACCTTTCCTCATCTGAAGCTACTCTATCGAGAGCGTATGAAGGCACTGAGGTCTCTAAGGGTAATTTTTTTTGCCACGCTACAGCTTGACCGTACACTTCTGTGTGAAAAAAGTTGGGTCCCTAGCGAAAAAGCAACAACTCTGAAACGATTTTGACTGATACACCAGCTTTTTGAGTATACATAGGATTCATGGAGAATTTTGAAAACATCAGTGGATGAGCTTGATTCTTCGGTTTCTAGTCGGGCCTCTTACTTTTTACTAACTGTTCCCCCTATTTCAGACGAAATGCCACCGACATGCCGTATTCTGAACCACAAGCCCTTGGCAATATGGCTTTGACGCTCAGCGAAAAGTATCGGCTACTGGCTGAAGAAGCTAGACAGGTGAATCAGTAGACTCCTCCATCACTCTCTATCAACTTAATTGGCCGTCGTACACAACATCGATTCCAGGCCGTAGCCATGCTTCCGTCTCCGAGTGTAGCTCAAAAACTCAAAGTAGCTGTACAGAGATTAGGAACCTCATGTATTGATACGGTGAAGGTGGCTGGACAACGCCGTGCACATCCAGCAGATCAGGTCTGTATCGACTTATTGATTGCCGATCTGATTCAAAAAGAATTCCTCCATTTCAAGCGTACACATCGAGAACTAACCGATAGTTCGCGTGTGGTGGTGGAACGGGTGAACGCGGTGTTGGCATCACTGCACGAAGGCTCGAAAGGCACTCAGGCTTGTATCAACGCTGCCAATACCGTATCCGGAATCATTGGCGACTTGGACACGACGATCTTGTTTGCCACCAGCGGAAGTCTGAACGTTACCACTGAGCAGCGCGATTTCAATGAGCACAGGTGGGGATTTGGCTCTGGCTTCAGTTTTCTTCTCGTTCCAATTCCTCTTGAACCCTCTTTTCAGGGTTGCCATTATCAAAACAGCAAAGGCGCTGGTCGAAGACACCAAGGCACTTGTCGCTGGAGCAGCGTCCAACCAAGAACAGTTGGCAGTCGCCGCTCAGAATGCAGTTCGAACCATCGTCAACCTTTCAGATGCGGTCAAAAACGGCGCTGGCAGTTTGCCAAGTTCCAACTCTGAAGCTCAGGTGATTTTCCTTCGACTATGGGTTGGTTTACGTTGACGTGAAGGTAGTGGTTATAGGTCCTGGTAATCCATGCGGTACGTGATGTGGCCGCTTCGTTGTCGGCCCTGATTCAGGCCACAAAGAACGCCTCTGGTAGATCGCTCCATGACCCTGCAATGGGTCACCTCAAGGAGGCCGCCAAGGTAACTCGAACTCTGAATATGCCTTTTATGACGTCATAATTTTGAAAATTTAGAAATTTTCCTTTTATTACAAAAGGCAGTTATCCTGTTTCAGACAATGGTTTCGAACGTGACGTCTCTACTGAAGATTGTGAAGACCGTCGAGGACAAGACCCAGCAAGGTACCAGAGCTCTGGAAGCAGCCATCGATGCCATCGGAATCGAAATCAAGGTAATGAAGACCTGCAGAGATCTCAGGATTTCAGATGGCTCAGCTTTATTTTACAGACTTACGACCACGAGACCGGTGAGGGTACATCAGGCCCGTCCGGTGCCACACCGGAACATTTGGCACGTGCAACAAAACGCGTCACTGATGCGACAGCTCGTCTTGCCGGTGCCGCCCAGACGCTCCAACAAAGCGATGTGATAGCCGCTGCGAACCTGGCCAGAGCTGCTGTCAGTGAGCTGCTGATCGTATCTCGTGCTGCGGCTGCAGACGCTGATTCTGCTGAAGCCCGATACCGAACGCTTGACTCTGGACGTGATGTCGCCGCTCAGGTAAGTTGCTTTCTCACCTTCCCACGTGGGTGGCTCAGCTTCGTCCATGAGGCTTTTGAGGCTACCATTTCCAGGTCCGTGGTCTGCTTGTGGCCTTGCATACGGTTCTAGCACGAAATGCTGATCAGTCATCGCGACAGTTGCTTCTGGATGCTTCCCGTGGAGTGGCACGTGCAGTAAAAGACTTGATTGGATGCAGTGAACTTCTGAAGGTACTGGTATTTCCCATGACCCTTTCAAACCCTAAATAACCATTTGTGTATTTCCAGGGTGACACATGGGCGGATCAATCCGATCCGACGGTAGTGGCTGAAAACGAATTAATGGGAGCAGCAAGTTCGATAGAGGCAGCTGCTGTGAAATTGGCAGAACTCCGTCCACGAGTACAACCGGTTGGTCCTGACCAGCATATTTCTTTCTCTGCTCTTTTCTCCTGCTTCTTATTCCATCGACTATCGACTACTTCCCTCCCTCGACTTCCTTTGGTGGCAGCACTGCTCTGCTATACCATCCAACACTTCGTCCACCCTCCCAACCCCTTCTACCGCGCCCCACCACCTCGGCTACTATTCCACACTGGCTGCTTTAGCTTTGATATGTCTGGTATTCTTGGGTTCAGTGATAACCAGAACTATTAGACATATCGAAGATCGAGCGTGCCTCCACCACTGCTGGCCTCTGATCCTGCTCTCATTCGTCTACAACTTTCTAGACTGTTACTGAAGATTCATTTCAACTCAAAAGAAACGGAATTGAATTTGTTTTCAGAAAACCGATGAGAATTTAGCCTTTGATGAACAGATCCTCAGTGCAGCCAAATCGATCACTGCCGCTGTTCAAACGCTGGTGAAAGCGGCTTCGTCAGCTCAACGTGAGCTCATTGCTCAAGGTAATTAGGGTCCGACCTGTCCTGGAACAGTGTAACTTGGAACATAAAGCTCATAAGGAGTCCATTGCCTTTCATTTTGGATCCCTTAGTTGTTGTTTGCGCTACCAAGACGATGTCTGAAGTTTGTCATCGCTGCCTTTTGCTCGTCTAGATTTCGTACTGGGGCTAGGTCTTCATTAAATTCCGAACAGCAGCTTTTCCGTTCAAGTCTGCCTTTTCTAAATATTGTCGGCCTCATCCTAGTAATTTCAGGTCGTCTTGAGTCTCATCCACAACAGCACAGTGAAGACTACCAGTGGTCTGAGGTTAGTTTTTCACTGATAGCTTACAGAAGAAAATTACTTCTTCCAGTTGTACACAGAATTTTCGCTGAGCATATGAGCGGGAACATTTTATAGCATTGGGTAGTATGAATTTTCGCAGTTGTTGTGAACGGGGAAATTTCGAAGTGCTGGGTCGAGTTGATAGGGATGAGCGTTTACTTATAAGTTTACTGAATAAGAGGTTACCATCAGATGGGAAGAAGCACTAATCTGGATGGCTCCATTCAAGGCTTCCATCGTATCTTTGGATTTTTACACAATAAATGGATTTTTTAGGTTTTGACTAGGCTAGCTCCAGAGCTTGCACCTCTTCAGTTCTCATTTTTAGAGTTAGTATGAAAGTCATGGCTCAGAGTGCTTTTTCAAGGGTTTGATCAGTGCTGCTCGTTTCGTTGTTGCCGCTGTCCATCAACTTTGTGAAGCAGCAAATGCTCTCGTTCAAGGTCAAGCAAGTGAAGAGAAGTTGATTTCGGCTGCGAAGCAGGTTCGTCGATCATGAGAAGTTTTTCTATCATTGAGAGCTTTTTCGTGTTTCACTACTGACTCATTGACTCATCTACTTTAGGTGGCAGCATCAACCGCTCAACTGCTCGTAGCCTGTAATGTCAAAGCCGATATGGACAGTCAGGCAAGGAGACGACTTCAAGCTGCTGGACATGCTGTTAAGGTGAATTGAATTATTTTAATAGAAATCAAAGTCTCGTATTAGTGTGGGTAAGAAGTTTCGATATAAACGTACCCTGAGATAGCTCACAGGGATTGAGAGCTCTCGATTTTATCACATTGAAAGAATTTGGATCCAATTTTGATAGCCGATCGTCTCAGAATGGTTCAAAAACTATTTTATAAGAATTGTAAGGAGTTAGAGTGAGATCTTGATGATCGACCATATGTTTGTGATATTCGCTTGGGCAACTAAAGAATTTAGATGGGGACCTGAAATTGCCCATGCCTTTTTCTCACTGTTTAATCATCAACTTAATGGTTACTTTTTACAGACGGCTACGGAGCGGCTTGTTACAGCAGCTCGGCAGAACGTGGTAGAGGATGAACGCAACATTGTGATTTCTGACCGACTTGTCACTGGCATTGCACAGGTTAGTAGTATCGTTTCTGAATGTATCACTAGCTTGTATGCCCCTAATTGACTTGATAATTTGGCGATTTTCCTGTCAGGACCCAACTGCCCTCGTCTAGGGCAGGGTAGACTAGTGAGTTTCAAGGTGTTGAGCACATGGTCCTGACGAGTTGCCAGGGGTAGGTTAAACTATACCTCTGACGATGGGTAGGACCATACCACTTAGGTAGAGTATTGGTAGTTATGTTTTTCCCCATTTTTGGGATCAATATTGAATTTCCCCCTTTTCCAGGTGATGGACGCCCAAGAACAAGTGCTCCGTAAAGAGAAAGAACTCGTGCATGCCAGAGAACGTCTCGCGAACCTCAACAAGGCACGATACGAACGTGGAGCATCGCCCGAGCAGTAACTCGTTGCCTGGATGACCTACTCTATAGAGGCCTGTAGCCGAGAGAAATCGTCGAAATTCTGATTTGAAAGCGAAAACTGATCTTTAGTTGTAGTAATTGCTGGGAGATTAGCATCCGAATTCGATTTTGCGACCAGAAATTGGCTTTCACTAGAGTATCAGAAGCTTCGTTTACAGTTTAGATAGCGTGATCTTTCATGAACGACGTTTTCGCCTGCAGTTCACTCATTGTTGTTCTGCCATCATTTCTTTTTTTAACTAATTTGTAAATAATTTATTCAAAAATGCCTCTCTCCCTTCCTTCCCACACCGAAACCGCCGTCTGTCACACATATCGCATGTCGCATTTTAGTCGCAAACAAGTCAACTTTCCGTAAGTTGTTGTTGTTAAGGAACCTGAGGGTTCCCAGGAGGTAGTACCTCTTGAGTTTGTGCCTTAGCCTTTGGTGTTTCTATTTTTAAAATAACTCCCACTGCTATTGTCTGTCTACTTATCTAACGCTACGGTTTTTTATTTATTCTCCCGTTTGGCAAATAATAGCTCTGCTCAACCATCACCTTCTTAGCACTATCACCATCTCTGTCACATTGTATTTGGATCCCACATATCGTTTTTTGTTTCATCTCTCGATTAGCAAGTTCCATTCTCCGTCTTGCGCTATTTTTTGCAATAAAAAGATTATATTTATCAGTTTTGTTTATCTATTGTGCTTAGTAATGAGCAAGTAGTAAAAACGCTGATTCCAAGTAATAGGTGAAGTGATGAATCCGCTGTCCTCCTGCTGTTTAGAATCAAATCGTTATGGGCAGGATAGGACCTCTAATGAAGACACAGTTCACGATAATCTTGGGATATCTCGTTTCAAGCGAGTGAGGACAAGGGGGAACGTCCGTTCCGCGCGTTTGTCGAAACTGGCTCATTCCGCCCACTTCGCGCGCGGCGCAGCCCACTGCGACCTAAAGGTGGCATCACAGCACCCATGACTGTCAGTGGAGCGAATGATTTGCACTAGTCCATGTAATAATCCCTTTGAGCTAACAATGTGCTCATCGAGGTGACGTGTGCAATGCGCGGGGTGTGGTGCGTTAGGAAGGAAATGGTCGCGTCGCGGTGAGAGGGGCGACGCGCGCGAAGGAATGTAGCAGGATGCAGCAGTAGCTAAGAAATGCAAGAACAAAAGTAATAATAGTAGAATTATACATAAAATAATAATCGCATATCGAATGAACTGTATGAAGAACGCTAGAGCCGTAATAACGGCAAATGA